TTTCTGAAAGTTTTTCTTTTGTACTAAGCCCTTGTAAGACTCCCATTCTTCCAATTAAAATGATAGTAGTAATAATAATAATAGAGGCTGGAGATTCTGTTTAAAGTTTTGTGTGCAATAAACTGTATTGTGTTTCCTAGCTTCTCAAATTCCATAATTCTCAATTATTACTTTCAAATATCCATTCAGTTGGACCTAATATTGTGGATCATTGCAGAAGAACTGTCAGCATTTCTGTGCATTCTGACAGTATTTGCTTGCTTTTACCTAGTAAAATCAACAATTTACCTGGACTGTAATGCTGCAAGAATTACTTAAACTCCTACTATTTTCCTCAAATTTGGATGCAATTTACAACTATTGGAGTTTTACACACAAGTATACACGGCTGGAGTACATTGGTATTGTATTGGTCTGCTCAATTCCCAACAAGCTTGCCTTACCACGTCGCTTTATTAAACATCTGGTTGCTGGTGGACTTGGTTTCCAAAGAAAAATTACAATTAGTTCAGTCTTGTATTAAATATTTGCACCACTTAATTTGTGCAAAAGGTCTATCTCTTTATCCCAAACACAGATAAGTTATTGTTGCTTTTCTGACAGCCCAAACAAACAACCAACTGTGGGTGTTCCTAGGACTTCGTGGCTGTTGTCCACCTAAACCCTGGCTTTTCTTTGTGGGCTCAGCCTTTATGTGGTTGCTGGTGTTGTGAGGCGCCATCGAGTTGCTTCTGACCCAGAACCACCTTATGCACAGTAAAATGACACTACGCCGTCCTGCATCATCCTCACAATTGCTTCTATGCTTGAATATGGGCAGCTTCAGCCACTGAATCCGTTCATCTTCTCGAGGGCCTACCTCTTTTTTCAAGCCTTTCTACTTTACCAAGCCTGATGCCGTTCTCCAGGGACTGATCTCTCCTGACAACTTGTCCAATGTACGTGAGAAGAAGTCTTGCCACCCTCGTCTCTAGGGAGAACTCTGGCCGTACTTCTTCCAAGACAGATCAGCTTGTCCTTTGAGCAGTCCATGGTACGTTCAGTACTCTTCTTTATACAGATATTTAAAGCTCTAGGCCAGATTCATTCTCAATTTCACCAGCTGGAGAGGCTGTAGTTCAATTAAAAGAGTCTCTAGCAAACACGCCTGCTCTAGGTTTTCCTAAAATATTATCTAGATTTTCCTCTAGTTGTTCATAAAGGGTCTGGAAATGCTTTGTGTGTACTGACTCAAAAACATGGGGCCTATTAGTGCCTACAGCCTGACTTTTTAGACAGGTCTGTGATTGCTACTGCCAAACTAGTGGAAACCACAGTCAATGTGGTATCAGGTTTGTTTTTTTAGATGTCCACGTGACCCATACTGTGTCTCCCTTACTTAATTCTGCCTTACCACAGCATTGTTCTGCCAGCAGCTTTTATGTCCTCTGAAGGTATCCTCCTTGTTATGTCTAACGTAAGACTATTCTCTGTGGTCTATTTTAATCCTTAAAAGGTACCTTTTTGTCTCCTGGACTAATGGGAAACAACTACCTTACAGGACTGTCTAGTCCTGATGGAGCATCATTCAATCCCTTGGAAAGACCTGAAAGACCACATTAAGTAGTCCTGTTTTAGTTTTATTTGTATATGTTTCCTATG